CTACGGCTGCCTCTGCCTCGCGCTCTGCGCCCAGGTGGCCCAGGGCAAGTCGTGCGACAGGATCTCCTGCTTCTCGGGCCACTGTGTCAACTCCACCTGCGTCTGCGAGCAGGGCTGGGTGGGAGACCAGTGCCAGCACTGCCAGGGCCGGTTCAAGTAAGTTCCCCATTCCCGCAATTTTCTCGCTAAACCCCTCGGCCCTTCTTGGGCCATTCCTAGTTGCCTGTATGTTTGTTTATCTATGTATTTTTTTTCCCCTTGCTCATGTCTGCTGTGATTTTGTGCCTGGGTGATGGAGGTGTGTGGTGGGAGAGGGCGGTGGAATAGGCCCCCCTCACCGCCTGGTCCATCCCGCTAAAAATAGGGGCTGCGGTCGTCAGAAAACCGTACCTGGTGACTTACCACCCGAAATAGGCTGCTCTGCTTGGTGGGAGCTGAGCAGGAATCAGCCTAGAGCTGTGTCACTGCTGTCCCTTCTGGAAGTGCCATGGAAATGACATGAGTACTTCATGGGCTTGCCTAGTGAGCAGAAAAATATGAAGGGATTTGAATTTCTCTTTCCTTCTGGGAATTGAAAGGTGCTTTCATATTCCATTCTTTTTCCCCCTGTCTTGCAAGCACCTTAAATTAGTGGGCATTATTAGCCCTGCACTTTCGGGACAGCACGAATGTGTTTTTATACCGTTACTGAAATGTGCAGCACCCCGTTTGCAGGCGAAGAGACTGGCGTAATGATGGAGCAGTGACTTAGGAGACCCCTTCGCAAGGGAGCGAGCGGTCTGTAGGGACGGCACTGCCTCCTTCGGGAAAGCGGATACCAAGTTGTTGATCAGCGAGGAGGAAGCACAGGCTGGCACTTGCTTTTTCTCTATGTAGTCCGCAAGACTTGGCTTGCGGGTGTCACTTTCCTCTCCCTTTTGTATGTGTGTTTCAGGTATTTTTTTTTTTTTTTTTTTTTTAAATGTAACCTCTGACAGGACACTTCCTTCCCCTGAAAAAATAGTCCTTAAAAGTAGGAGATGTGAAGTATGTTGACACATTCTGCTGGAAAGTGCTGTAATATCCAGTTAATAACAATGTATTAGTGAGGCTGTATCTTGCAGAATGTACGCTCTTCTTTTGGAGAATATTTTTATGAGTTAAGGGTATCTATATTTGTCTAGCTTAAATTGTGCAATAATGTGGTTTTCTCTTTGGAGTGCTAAAATTGAACTACATAATTTTTAATGTTTAATCTGAGGTCATTTATCTCTAAATAAACAAAAAGTAAACCAAATAATTTGCTAGCTCAAGAAATGGAGGAGTAGTTGGGCAAATTAATATACGTGCAGTGGAGAAACCAGTTCCTTGGTAGCTCTGCATGTGGTGGATTACTCTATCAATGAGATTATAATTGAGGTAAAAAGGGAGAATAAGGCACATTTAAGACATTTGGGCACATTAAGGCGTCTTGCCTGTGTGTGAACTTGAGAATGAGGTTTTGAAGTGGATCGTGTGTGCCGAGGGCTCGGGCTCCGTGGCTGCCCTGGGCTCTGGAGCAAGGGGCTCCGTTTGCCTAAGGGATGGGGATGGGCAGGAGGCCTTGGTGGATCCTCCCTGCCGCACCAGTGTGCAGGAGACCTGCCTGTACAGCTGGTATTTCCTGGCCTTTTATAAAGGGATTATTTGTGTTCCTTACCTTGACACCCGTCACAGCAGTCCCTAGCAGTGCAAGGGCTCAGGCAGATTTTATTCCCTTTAAAATTCGAAGCTTTTTGTGCATTCTCTGAAGAAAAGAACACGCGGAGCTCCCTTTAGGCAGCCCTTAGAAAAATTTCTGTGACTATTTGTTGTTAGAACGTTTTTGCCTGTTATTTCCCCTGGTTGTGTTTGTGGTGAGGAAGGCATGGTGGCTGCGTTTTCCCTGCTCGCTTCTGCTGGAATGCTAATAATCCATCTCCACCTAGAGGAAGTTTGGTCCGAGTGCTGAAAACACACCTTTTCTGAGCCCGGCTGAGGCAGTGTTTAGTTGATGTGGCTTTAGGAGTTTGGGTGAAAGCAAAATAGATATTTTCATTAACCTCTCCACACTTTTTGTGCTTATTTTTGATAATGATAGTGATGCTGGTATTATGATTGTTGGCACCCAAATAAGCCCTTTCTGTTATTTCTGGAGACCTCTTTAGCTCCTGTTTCCTACCCAAGGACATTTTCATAGTGATGTCTTTGATAAGTCACCTTAAATCTTTAATCTGCAAAGCAAAACATGCTCTGCAATGAAAATGACCTCCCAAAGACTTAAAGCTCTACGAGTCTGGTGAGTTGGGGGTAGTATTAAATATCCTAACACGTGTTAAGAACACAAGCAGCAAACTAGTCCCTGTATTTTGGACGTTGAAAATTAATGTGTGTGTCAAATGGGCGAGTCGTCAGGACTTTTTATTTACAGAACAGTTGGAAAACAAATACTGGGCTACCCCAGATGTCGGGCAACTAAAGACCTCTCTGACCTCAGCAGAGTGTTGGTAGTTTCACTTCCTATAATGGAGCTTTTGTGCGTTGTTCGGGTTGTCTGGGAAGCAGAATTATCCCCTGGCACAGCTGGATTTCTGCAGCAGTGGTGCCTGTGTCTGTCCGGTGAGGCTGGAGTGCAGGATCTTGTGAGCAGATGCCTCACTCAGTGGGAATTATTGCGGGGAACATTTCTGAAAAGCGGAAAGACTGATAAATATATTTGGCTGTCAAAAGCCTATTGAGAATTACTTTGTGGCTTAAGTGTGGTATATATGAATGCTAATAAGTTAATAGAACCTTGTGCATTTTTTCAAGCACACTTTTTTTTCACAGTTTCAGCACTATGAGCTGCCTCTGTATGTCCATATTTTTGCACAAAGATAAAATGGACTTTTAATGACCTACATTTGACTGGTGTAAAGCTGTTTTCTATCACTAAATTATTCAGTTAAATAGTTATTTATGTCTTCAGGGAATGAATGACTTGCATTAACAAATATCAGAAGCATTATCATAAGAGAAGTATTCTAGCTAGGGGAAATCTGGATTCATTAATTCTTTCATGAGAGAGGTGCTGTATTTTTGGTTTTGTTTTTATTTCTATTATAAACTAAGAAATAACAGCAGAGTGGAGAGACATCAAAAATCAATCCTAGTGAGCAGGCATCAAAATGAATTGACAATTCTGTGTAATCTTGCTTTTTTCCTGGGGACTACTTTTCATGTATTGCTCAGGAGTGGGTGAAGGATAGATGGAAAAAAATAAGTGAAGAGATGAATTAAAGTAATAAAATCATGCTTGAGGATCAACTTACATATTTACTGCTTATTTTAAGTGGGAAGTGTGTAATAACCCATTATGTAAATGGGTTAGTTTGTTATTCTTGCAGTATTGCATGCACATCCTTGTCTTTTTGCTTGATGTTCTATGCGTCATCTGTCTGATGGTAAATTATTTTATTCTCTGTTCTGAATGGGTGTCTAAATGCAATTCTGGGCTAAGCTTAAGAATGACTATTCAGAGTGCAATCTTTTCTGAAGTAAAATTATTTTCTTGTCTTTGAAAACTGCTGGATGCAGTTTCTGTAAATTCCCTGTAGTGATGTGAGGAGTAAAAACTTAGAAACTTAACTGGATTTCAGCAGGGAGCCCTGAGAATTGGAGGATTTGCCATGACTTGTAGAATGGCTGGAGAAAGCAGCGGTTGTTCAGTTACCAACCTGGGCCAGGAAACCCAGCGATGTGGTAGGAGTCGAAACCTAGTGGCTACAGGTACAAGCATTTCATACCAAATAAGCTTTAGCATTTCTAATTAGATTAATTAGATTATAATGAAATATTATGTGCAACACATGCTTTTTCCTGACCCTGTTACAGTGAATTTGTATGAAACAAAGTGATGGCAACTCCTTTTTTAAAAAGAGAGACTGTAGGGAA